ATCGGGGCAGCAATCACCTAGACAAAGGACTAAGCGCCTCGCCTGGAAGTGGAACTCCAGGGGCTTCCCTAAAGGCACCTACCAGAGAACCCACATATCCCACACAATCAAGTCAGCAACCAACAGACAGAAGGATAAGGTGAGTCCTAACACACCAATGTTGACCTCACTTTTGTGGTGGTAAACTATACCCATCTTATCAACAATCCTAGACTAGGATTGTATCCTTCAAACCCTATGAGTTTGCCTTCAAAATTTTAAGGGTTATCAAATCCACCTAATTAAAGTGGAAAAAGGGATATTTGGACCCGATTTGAGCTAGACTCGAGACAATAACACGACAATACAACCGTGGTACGACCCCAATAACACTGTAACTGCAACAATATCACGATTTTGCACCAATAACACCAAGATTAACGTGTGATACTACCGCAACAACATCGATTCCGCACGATACTACCGCAATAACACTGTGGTACGACCCCAACAACAGTGCAACTGCGACAACACCATGGTTTTGCATCAATAACACCAAGGTTCTGCTCAATACTACCACAATAATACTGGTTTCGCGTGATACTACCGCAGCAGCACTGCGGTACGACCCCAATAACACAACACCGGCGATTCCTCGCAAAAACAATCGCGGTACTCCCACAATAACACCACTCCTGCGATTCCTTGCCAAGAGCACAGCGGTACTACACCAATACAATTGTGGTACTATCACAACAGCACCAATTCCACGGTTCTACGCTAATAACACTATGATACCACGATGATAACACTGAAAATAACATCATCCAAAATGCTTAAAATTTTGAACTTAACCAACTAATCACTCCACACCATTTTGACCACATGGTCAACCCATTGACCCTGTGGTCAGCCCAACCACCATATGGTCAACCTGACCACCCTAGTCAACCTTTTGGTCAACATGGTCAACATTTGAACATTTGACCCTAGTCAACCCTTTGGTCAACCCAACCACCACAAGGTCAAGATATCACCATATTGTCAACCTGGCCACCCTGGTCAATCCTTTAGTCAACATTGGACCATATGATCAAACCCATTGACTCTATGGCCAACCTAACCACCATATAGTTAGCACATCATCACATGGTCAAATTGTTCATTTTGGTCAACCCATGGTCCAATTAGTCAACCTAGGATCTAATTGTTCAACAATAGACCAATTGATCAATCTAGGGACCCAACCATCATATGGTCAACACATTACCATATGGTCAACCTGGCCACCGTGGTCAATCCTTTGGTCAACACGGTCAACATTGGACCATATGATCAAACCCATTGACCATATGGCCAACCTAACCACCATATGGTCAACACATCACCGTATGGTCAAATAATCATTTTGATCAACCCATGGTCCAATTGGTCAACCTAGGGTCAAATGGTCAACTGATGGTTAATGGTCAACTTTTCATTCCCATAATCAATTAATTATTTAATTAAATAAATAGATGAAATTAATACCCATTAAGCCTAGTTTTAAACCATAAAATCATAGCCCAAAGCCTAAAGCCCAAGGCTTTAACCCATGATCCAAGCCCATGGATTAAAACCATGATCCAAGGCCATGATCTAATAGGTCACCCATGACCCATGTCAACCCACCAGGGATTTAAATAACTCATGCATTATTTAATTCAAATAAAACAAAAAAAAATAAAATAGGGAGAGGGGAACAAAGGAAGTTATTCCTACCCCCACACCCTAATACTTGGCATTCTAGTTCAAGTGACCCAAGTCCTTTCATGCTTGTGTTAAAGAGAAACTCTGCCAAGCTTAACCACCCTACCTCCTCCCCTCTCCATTGTTCTAAAGCCATGGATTCCTCCCTCAATTTCCATTAGAGCCAACTTGGACAAAAATGCCAAGGAGAATAATTCTCTCCATAACCTCTCTCCCTGGTCTCTTAAAAAACTTTAGAAGATTCAATAGATTCTCCCCAGGCTAGCCTTGGCCATATCCAAGCCTCCCACGGCCATTAAAGGCCAAACCCGACAGCTTGAATCATGGTTAGTGCTCTCCAATTAAGTCCCCAAACCTCTGGCCCCCAAAAGAGAAAGCTTCTCTGAAACATAGGCAATAGATCCCTCATCTCCTGAAGGCCTTAACCCCCTTTGTGAAGCCCTAATTTTTCAATCCAAATCCAGTGAAAACTCGGGCATGACATGAACCCTACCATATGAATTGCGTGGTGTGTGTGTGTGTGTGTGTGTGTTGAGTTCTCTTATTTGGAATGTATGGACATGATCTCTTGTGAGAGGTCACAGTTAGTCAATAACATGTCTTTCATCTTAAGAAAATTAGACAACTTATTTTAAACATTTTCAAAAAAAAATTTCTTCCTTTTCTTGCAAATGTAGATAAAACTGTCCGGTTATTCTCTTAGAAGATGGAGCAAAAAAGACACCCATCATGTTGTGGGTAATTTGACCAGTTGTACATCTAATTAATTTTTTGTTTGATTTTATGTTCAAATCGATAGCTCCATCCCCCTAATAGATACAAATATTATTAATCCTCAAGGCAATGGCAGAACCATAACTTAAAAGTAATGGGTGACTGACTTAAGCTTTAAGGAGTGACGAGTATTTAAATTTAAACATTCATCTATTAAAAAAATAACTATAATAAATATTAATATTAAATTTAAATTATAATTAATATCAACATTATCATCGATTATTTAAATTTAAGAGAGAATTTTTTTAGTGATTACATGAATAGAGTTTACTAAAAATATAGGGGTGAAACTACCCACTTGTTCCACCACTGCTTCAAGGTAGAAATTTTAGAGCGGAGTGGTGTATGATTGGAAGCACCATTCATTTGCTCTGTCATGGATCTCTTCCCTTCAAAGTACTCTAAAGATATGGTGTGCTTTGTTTAATTATTTTTTAAATTAAATTGGAGAAATATGTTATATTATTAAACATTTTCTTTTTAATATTTACTCTATTATTGACAATTATCAAAGTTTTTTATTCATTTTCCTGTATTTATTTCTGTTATGAAAAAATATATATTTTTTCAATAAATTAAATTAATAGGAAAAACTAAATTGTTATACTTTTATACAAATAATATGCATCTAATTAAATTGCAACAGCTTATCAAATGGTATTTATAATAAGTCCATTAAGATATGATCTTAAAGTTTCCAAAATCTTAAATTTTCATCATTATAATTAAATTTGAGCACGATTTATACGCACAATAATCATCTAACCACCACATAAATACATTGAACATAGCACAAATATATTCACAGTTAATGTGTCTTTTTATCGTTCAATTGCAACTTCCAAAGATGCTATATAACCATAGTTAAAGCCTATTAAATTTAAGTAAAACTTGCACACATGCCACACAGTTACTAAAGGCCCATGTGCGCACACACACGCATATAGATTTACATACAATTGGCCAGATGCGAGGCGAAAAAAAATCCGAGTCAACTATTATATAAAACCCAACCGGATGCAATAGCCAACCCTCCTACGGAATCGATCCAAGGGAAGACCTAGTTCCATGGTATCTTTGGCCATTTGGTGGACGCTCTAAAGGTTCTCCACCAAGGACCAAGGCTTGTCAGTCATGATGTATCAGTGGGTTGATCCATACCAACTAGGCTCAGCTGTCCTAGCTGATCTTGACGACCCCAAGCTAACTAAGGTCAGTCAGCTAAGTCAGAAAGTAGCTAGATGATATACACATATATAAACTACCAGAAATACTATAATAAAACAGGGGGAAATATGTAACATTATTATGTATGATCTCCTCTATAAACAAGAGGATCAATTTATGAATAAGTTATGATAGATCACGAAGAATTACTTTTCATTATATATATATATATATATATCTCGGTTGTAATTCACAGATAAGTCAGGTATCTTAAAAAAAAGAGATTTAGATAGTAGATATATAAATATATAGAAATTGAGTGGTAAATATGTATATGACTCTAAGGTTGTGTTTGGTTGCACAATCGAATTTCCTTCAAGTAGGATTTATCAAATTCAAATTTCCGGCAAGCTTGTGATGTTAGCAAAGGTTACAAGCAACCGTAACATAAATCCAACAACTCTGTCAGACGGAATGACTAAATTTGAGTTAATTCTATGGTGTGATGTCAAATGCCCCTAAAATTAGAGTTGGAAGAACAACATTGTATTTGATTTAACTTATTCTTAAATATCAATTTTTTTCTGTTTATTTTTATCAAATTTTAGCATCTCTAAATGGTCCAAGTCAAAAAGCTTTGCTTTTTTTTTTCTTTATTTGGGGGAGAAATTTTGTTGAAGATAAATAATATGTAGAAAAATAGTATAAAACTAGTTTTAAATAAGTTTTCATAATATAATCATTTATGACATTTATTCTAAAAAAATAATGAATATAATAATTCACTCTACAAAAAATAGACAAAATATTCGAATCCCAATACTCTTCATAATATTTAATGGCCTAGAATATAATTAGCTGCCACACTCAAATCCCAATGTTATTTCTTTGGCAAACTAACCCTTCCCCATTTACGATCTCCGATTATGAGTTCCAAGAAAATTAAAAAAAAACAAAAAATAAAATTTCCCCAAAAGGCGGCGAGTCCGGCCCCACCCCGCCGCACCACGCGCGCTAAATAGCCCCTCCCGCGGGCATCGCTCCTCCGTCGGTGCGTTCTGGTCACCGCTTCCGGTCCCACATGTGGGACCGGTCAAACCATTGACGGGTTCGAAACTCGCCGGCCAATGGAATGCGTTAAATTTCCCCTCCTCCTTTCAGAAGCGGTCAGATTAGCTTTGACTCCCTCCCCGCACCGGCACATCCACTTCCCATCCACACTCTCTCTCTTCCAGCTGTCACCTGACGCACCGAATGACGTTATCCCTTTCCTCGTAACCCTTTTTATTCCCAGCTGATTCCTCCGGTGAAAAGACTTCAGAGCCTTGTTCTTCTCCTTCCCTTTCGCTTCATAACTCTGCTTCGATTCGAGTGCTATGGATAACAAAGGGGGAGGCGGGTTAGCGCTCGAACCCAAGCAGTTCAGAGCTATCAAGCGCCGGCCATCAATGGATTCCGCCGCCGGGTTTGAGTTTCCGATCAGCCTGGCTTGCCGCGAGGCCGATCAGAAATCCGCCGCCGTTATCGGAGAGATGGACTTTTTCTCTAAAGAGAAAAAGGCACGAGTTTCCACCCCTGTTGCAATTCCTCTTGATCTTCTGATCAAGAAAGAGGATCTCACCATAAATGTAATTTGCAGCATAATTTTACATCATTAGCACTAAGAGCAATCGTTCTCGTAACTTATCCTTTGATTAATTTGTTGACAGACTGCTCTGCATCTAGCCAACACCGGAAGCGACCAGTCGACGTTGGATGAGGGCATGTCGATTACCGAAGATGAAAAGGAAGGCAAGACCGAGGTACAAATTGAATTTTTTTTAATTTTTTATTTGGTGAAATTAATAAATTAATGATTTTGGAATTGATGGTTATATTGTTTGTGTGAATTATTCAGCTTGCAGCTATGCAGACAGAGCTTGGGAGGATGACAGAGGAGAATCAGAGGCTGAGAGGGATGTTAAGCCAAGTGACCAATAACTACAACGCTCTTCAGATGCACTTTATGACTTTGATGCAGCAACAAAACCAGATTAACAAAATCGGTTTCTCGCAAGCTCAAGCGGCCGTATCTGATGAACAATTGAAGAAGCAGGACAACGTAGGTGTAGCCATAGCGCCAAGACAATTCATGGACTTAGGTCCGGCCGCCGCGGATGCCGACGAGCCGTCGACCCATTCTTCGACCGATGGTGGTAGTCAGGACCGGTCGTCGCAATCTCTAGTGAATAAAGATATTAGTACAAACAGTAAGGAGATGATTGTGTTCGAACGGGAAGATAGTGGTTTTGTGAGAGAGGAGAGTCCTGAGAATTCCTCACATGTATGGGCTGCCAACAATCATTCTAAAGCTAGCGGGACTGGATTAAAGCCGGCCGAACAATCCCAAGAGGCTACCATGCGAAAGGCTCGCGTTTCTGTGCGTGCTCGCTCTGAGGCGCCCATGGTAAAAATTGAATTTTTAACTCGTTATATTAATTATATTGAATTATTGTTCTGTTAAAGCTTAATTATAATTGACCTAATTGTTGTATTTAATAGATTGCGGATGGTTGCCAATGGCGAAAATATGGGCAGAAGATGGCAAAGGGAAATCCATGCCCCCGGGCTTACTACCGTTGCACCATGGCCACGGGCTGTCCCGTTCGCAAGCAGGTAATTGATTACTAATTGATAAAAATTCTTGGATTAGGATTTCTATATCTCACTAGGATTAATTTTTTCTTAAAATTCAAGCATAAGGATGTATTTCATAATAATACACCTTATAAATCTTAGGAAATCTTAAGCATTAGATATGTTCCAATAATTGTATACATATAATGATAGGTATTTTAAACTTCCAAAACCCTTCATATTCTCTTAATTATTACTATGTTTGTAAGATTCAATATTTAGATTAAATTCATATAAGAAATCCACCATCTCAAATTCCCTCAAATCAGCTACAATTAATCACAAAATCTACACCATTTTTCTTTAAATTGAAATCCTTTGCATTGACTAGAATAAGTTGGCTAACTCAAATAAAACCAAAACAGGTTCAACGTTGTGCTGAGGACCGTTCGATCCTCATAACAACATACGAAGGAAACCACAATCACCCCCTCCCACCGCCGGCCATGGCGATGGCTTCAACCACCTCGGCAGCTGCATCAATGCTCCTCTCCGGCTCGATGCCGAGCAACGACGGTTTAATGAACTCCAACGTCCTCGCGCGAACGATTCTCCCATGCTCATCGAGCATGGCAACCATCTCAGCTTCCGCTCCTTTCCCTACGGTCACCTTAGATCTCACCCAAACCGCTAACTCGCTTCAATACCAACAACGCCCGCCATCTCAGTTCCACTTACCACCGCCGCTGCCGCCGCCGCAGCCATCATCTCTGCCGCATTTATTTGGTCAGGCAATATACAATCAATCGAAATTCTCCGGCTTGCAGATGTCGTCCGCGGAGGTTGCAAAGCCGCCGCATAATTTTGCCGATACGGTGAGCGCGGCAACGGCGGCGATCACTTCGGATCCTAACTTTGCGGGCTCGCGCCCCCGCCATAACGTCGATCATCGGTGGAACGCATCAAGCCGGAAGCAGCAGTAATAGTGGTGCAGTAAATAATATTGTTAAAGTCAATAATGGTGGTAGCGGCAAGCCAGCCAGTTGGAGCTTCCCTACAAGTTAAGAAAGTTGAAGTCCTGCTAAAGTTAGCATTTTTTTTTTTAATTTTTTTTAATTCTTTTCTTTTTGTGGAGAAAAGGGTTATGAATACCATACTAAAATTATGTTTTCTTTTTTTTTATTTTCTTTGTTTTCAATATGGCAATGAAGAAGATGGAAAATAATGAAGTAATGCAATGAGAAAGTATGTTCATATATACTTAGTCGGTATTATAAGCAATTTATTTGTCTATCTCTACATAGGAATGAAAGTGTGGATTTTTCTATTGGAGAGAGGTGAAAAATATAAATTGAAAGTTTAATTTGCAAAAAGGAAAGTTTAGATATGAGTTATGTAAAAGCATGAATGTAAATTCTCCATTATTTTGTTTTTGTGTGTAAAACAGAAGCTGCTGTGAATTTTCTCTTAGCTTAAGATGAATTAATAGATTTTTTTTTAAATCATTTTAAATGAGTTATTCCGTTTTTATTGAAAGCTTACTCAGTTTTAATGAAGTCGTTGATGGAACCTGGACGTCATGGATAAGTCAAGGAAAGCGTCCATGCACGTGAAGAATACGAAATGGTTTGTGTGTGGGATGATTTGACACGTTAAGGACCTGGCTTTCATGGCGACACGTATTATTATTATTATTATTATTATTATTTAGAGAAAATTTGAGTTCTCAAATACAAATTTAATTAATCACTAAATATTAATAATAAATTTAATTGAATTATTAAGCACCGCTTACGGAACTCTTCCCTCGATTTATCTGCCAACTTTCTTCCCATGAAGAGCCAGTCTATACGACAGCAGAAGCTAAAGGAGTACTCAAAAACGTCAAAATCTGGACGCATAAGGAAACCCTAATCGGAGAAATTTGACGTAGAAAATGGGTTATTAGATTCTGCAAAAAGCATTAAAACGCTGCTGTTTTGTCTGATTGATTATCCTTTTTTCGAGTATGTTTGTAACTAAACTTTTCAAGCAAACGAAGAGATGATGAGTTTCAAAAATCAGAGAAGATGCTGTTATATCATATGAACCGACTATGTTTTGTCTTGCCCGATAAGTAAGACTCTTAAGAATATGTTATTTATGAATTGATGTTATGTGTTGTCATGGCATTAATTAGCAGAAAAAGTTCAGTAAATTCTGATTAAGCTTTAATTAAAATAGTTTTTTAATAACTTAATTACTTTTAGATACATGTAATATAGGACTTCAGAAGAGTTTATCATACATGATGTTGGTTCATTTTCAATGTGTTACAATGTTTCTTAAAATAATCTGCTATTTTAAAATTTTATGGGATCATTCTAACCTAAATTTTCTGCTTAATTCCTTGCTTCTTTTTCCCTGTTAATTTAAAGATGTGGCTAATTGTAAAGCAGTTAAACAATCATTATTCTTAATCTACAATTTAAAAATATTAAAGAAGTTTATTGTTTTTTCAAACTTAAACTAATGTAGTCGTAATCATGTGTCCTAGGTCTTTTACTAGTGTTCTTGTGATAGCAGCCTAATATGAATCTTTAATGTTGATAAACGGCAATACCAACATGTAGGCAACTTTCAAGATGAGAAAAGAAATAACAACACCTAAAAGATCGAACTAACTAGCAACTGTATTTTTCATTCCATCCCTTTCAATGTCTGGAATAGGAACTACTTATTAAATGCAAGGGAAGAAACACTACTAACTAATTACACTAATTGGCTTAATATAGTTATTAAAGAGTAATGTATCATATCATTACTCATCCCTTCAAAAAAAGAATCTGTAAAGATGGAAATTGAAACTTAGGGCTTCGATCAAGTAGAAATCACAGCTGAATCATTATAGAATAGGATCACACAAATTCGAGAAATTCGGAAAAATTTTTTTATCATAAGCTCAGAAAAAAAAATACTAGAAAAGTACACTAAGATTTATGTGAAAAAACCCTAATATGGGAAAAAAGCACAGAGCCACACCATCAAAAAATTTCTCTATGAATGGGAGAGACTTACAGATTACAACACTCAAATTTTCTCTCTAAAATCACTAGAACTTATAAAATATCACTACAAACATTCTTCCCGATCTCACAAGAGAAAACCCTAGCTTCAAAATCACCCTCATGATAAGCCAACTTCACAAAGAGGCCCTTGTTGAATAACACCGCACTTGAGAATACCAACTTTCGCGCTCGAATAAAGACTTAAGAGCAAAATAGAAGAGAAATTTTCCATAGCGTAGTCGCGTCGTCTTTGATGTAAATATTTTGATAGCTCTATTTTGAAGCCATGAAGTGAAAGAGTTGAGGCAAAGCTATGCCTAATCGCAGTGTAGTTATGTCGCATGGTAACTTTTTTTTGGTTGGCATAGCTACGTCGGCATGACGTAGTTACACCACCCTCTTACTCCTTGGCGTTGCTACTTAATTGCTTCTTTACGGTTGTAGTGTTTTTCACGCTCCAAACCTCAATAATTTTTCACGTGGAGAGACTAATAGCACCTAACATATGTTCATCAAATTTATATCTCCATTCGTGCCATTTTCATAGTCATGTATGGCGATGTGGCTCACCTCAGGTCTCAACATTCCTACGCTCCAACTTCCTATGCTCCAACCGAAGTCAGACATAGTTTCAATTTATTGATAATCACATCTTTATCAATATATCTACGAGATTATAAGTAGTGTATCTTCTTCAAAAGTATTTGCACATCTTCTAGGAATGAGCTAATTAAGTGATACTTAGTCATATATGCTTTGTCTTAGCATGGAAAACGAGGTTTTTGGTAAGATGAACACACTCATACTATCACTATGAAACTTTTCAATCCCATGCTCCTTGCCCAATTCTTCCATAAAGGTCTACAATAAAATCATCTCCTTGTTAGCCTTAATGATAACAATGTATTCAACCTCCGTAGTTGAAAGTGTAACAATTTTTTGCAACCTGGAAACCCAAATTACCATTGTGTTTCAAAGTAAGGATATATCCTATAATACTTATTTTATCATCCAAATCTCCTACTAGATCTGAATCTATAAATTCCAGTAGACTGGTCCATGAATTTCCATAGTAAAGTATCATGTTGATTATTCCCCTCAAATACTTGAGATTCTACTTCACCATTTTTGAATGATGTCTGTCTGGATTGCCCATGTATCTACTGAACACTCCAATTACATATGCAATACCTGGTCTTGTACATATACATCAGCTTCCAACTACTTAAGCATACACAATTCTCCCTATTTATGCTTGTTCAGCTTTAGACTTAGGTCATATTTCCTTGGATAGCTTGAAGTGACTGCCTGAGACAGTACAAACTGGCATTGCTTCACTCATGTTAAACCTTTTATATAATATTCTTAATATACTTTATCTGAGATAATTTTAATTTACCTTCACTCCTATCTCTACTGATTCTCATCTCGAGAATTTTTCTGGTTGGACCTAATTCATCATCTCAAACTCACTTGATGATTGATACTTTAAGTCTCTTATTTTTTCCATATCTATTCGTGTAATTAGCATATCATTACCATAAAAAGTGAACAAAATATAGCAATTATCAAATGTTTTTATGAAGCAATAGTGGCCAGCTGACATGTGTATGAATTATGCTTCTTTTATACCTTAATTCTCTCATTCTATATGTTTATATTATGCTTTGAGAAATTTTTTGGTGTTGTGTTGTAGGATTCAGGGAAGGGGAACGAATTGAGCTCGAAACATTACAAATGGAAGCAAACTGATGTTCTTGCACCTAAACACCAAATATAGGACAAATTCATGCACAAAATAAAGAGTCTAAAAAGTAGACGCCAAATATTGGGTGCCTAAGTGCTGCCTATGGGTGCCTAGGCTCCAGGTGATCCAGATTTTTCTTAAAAAAAATTGAATGCCCATAAAGTAGGTGTTGCACTTACAACGCCTAGGCACCACACAACCATCACTTAGGCACCGCGAGCCCAATGTTTAGGTGCCCGATTATCCAACTGTATGTGATTTCTAGGTGCATACCACTGCCGCCAATTTGTAAAAATTGATGGTTTATGCTATTAGAATAGGTCTCTTCACAGGGAGAAGTATAAAAATGTTGAATACAAAGTTTTTGGGGCCTCTCTCTGCTTTTCAGCCATTCTTAAAGGAATAACACTTAAGAAGAAGATCAAAGAAGCATTGCTATGAGTTTTTAAGTGAGGAAAGGAGAGATTTGTGTGAACCAAATTGGTGTAAGATTTTCTGATTTTGATTTCAACACCCTTGCTTTGTTGGGGTAGGAGATAAGTACAAACAAGTTGTGTTTTTCTTTGGAATTCTTTGTAAAGACTTGGTGTATGTTATCTTTGCTTAATTAAAATATTGTTGTGAAAAATTTTATCATGAATAATGAGTAATTTTCTTTATTTCTTCCTTGAATTTGGAATTTGGATTTCATTGTGATTTGCAATGGGATGTCCTTAAAGTTTTATGTTAACTTTCAATATTCATCTACATTCAGCCCAACCAGTAGGATAGTTAAATCTTTCTCAAACTATGAGATCCAGAAGGATACTTAATGGAATGAAAGGGTTATCCACAAACTCATTGGAATAGGAAAATTGTCTTTGAGTTTATGCAATCTCTTAGGGAAATGATATTTGATGGGTTGATAAAGAGATTTAAGAAACTAAACTTATGACACTCGGCCTTTCTTAGACTTCTGAAAGGGGATAAAAAAGACTGCTCATGATTGACGCAAGGCTAGGATCATATCCTTAGATCAATCCATCGCTTAACTACTTCAAGGGGGAAGTTTCTCATCACTTGAATTTCTTAAAAATTCCTTTTGTTTGCATAGGATAGAATAATTTCTTAAAATACTTAAGATAGAAAATTATTTGACTTTGTGAATTTAAAAATTTTAGGCTATGCCAAAATTACTTAACTGAAATTTTTTTAAAATTGGATTCATCTTGTTCCCTATGAGATAGAAACGGAACTAAATTTTGTATATTACTGATATATCATGTATACTTGCCTGAGTTGCTCATGCTTCGTTGCACTTAGAGCATGTCAAGTTTTGGCATCGTTGTCGGGGAACTCCGATAAATTCCAAGTTAGGAGAATTTTAGTTGAACTTTTATAACCTAGATTCAAAATTGTTTTTCAATCTGCTACTTATTATTTAGTTAATTGTTTTCATAATTACTGTAATTCTCTTGTTAAGTGTTGGTGATTATTTTTGCA